GCAATAGTCTTAGTCAACTTATTCATGACTTTGTTCATACATCTGGTCATTGCTGTACTAACTGTAATTGCTTTTGCTTATGGTCAGACTTGAATACACTAGCTTTAAATGTTTAGTGTATATTGCTTCATTCTGAGATGCACTAGAAACTAACCTCATAGAGAAAATAAACGGCAAATACGTGCTATGTATTTCCAGATACCTTCTAAATTGCTGGGACTGTTCCTTAATGGAAGAACATCGAGATCAATATTTGACTTGAATTGATTTGAATGGTTGATACTGAGATAAAATGAAGGAAAATAGCCTGATTTCACTGAGAGAATTAGAGGGGTAATTGGGCCACAGCTTGCGATGGATGGTAATGGTTAGCACGCCAAGATGGATTTCAACCTGTAACTGATCTGGCTATTTAGATTTTTTTTCCCCCCTTTGTATTTTTGAGGCATAGGGTAATGTAACACATGTGGGGGAAGGGCCTTTTCCTGGAAAGTCAGCTCTACTGCCAAACTCTGGATTATGGAAATACCTGATTACCCAGTTGGTAAAGATGTCAGATACAAGCTTAAACATAAATATGCTTTTTAAAACAATTGTCTAAACCCAGACAGAATTTAAACCTTCAGAGCTGTGACTCTGAGGACATATATGAAGTGTAGAAGACTTCTGTGGCCATTGCTGTGTGCTTTCGTAGCCTCCTTTTCCCTTCTGCATCAACTGTTGTGTTCTTCACATGTGTATGGAACTGATGCAAAATATTCTGATTATTCACCCAGAAAAGCTCTCCAATCGCCTGTGCAGATCAGCTCCAAGGAACCATAATGATTTTGATGAAATCTCCTTAACCTTTTATATACACTTAAAAAGAGATCTTTTCAGCAGAACAGATGCTTTGTTGCTTCTTAGTTTTTGTTACTTTGTATTGATGTATTATGTATCATGCACAATGGAATTTTAAACATGAAAATGAAATGCTCTGATTTCAGTGATAGCAAATGTTTCAATTAGCATAAAAAAAGACTTGGAAGAAAAAAAAACAACCCAAACTTGCATACTCATTTTTGGAACGTGACCAGATTTTAAACTTTCAGAAATCACTGTCTTCCATTTCCACACTGCTTCACATGCATGCTAAAATATATTTGCAGAACTGCGCCAGATATAGTGATAGATTGACTGAAACAGGAGATAATGTCATAGAAGGAAATTTATATTTGTGCACTGTATATACCTGTGTACAGGAACAGAATCTGGTTTATGACAGCAGGATCCTACTACCCTTATTCAGCCCAGGTTTTCACAATGAATATTCTGTCTAGATATCAGCCTCAGTATTTCAATAAAGAACATTGAACTCCTGCTAACATGTTTGCCTTATCATGAGGTATAGATAATAAAAAGAAGAGGAACAGGCCTGTCACAGCTGTTCTGGAATATCTCTTTTAAGTAGTTATTTTACATGCAGGGTAGTCAAACCTTTGAAGTTGAAATATGCACAGCTTTAACATATAACTTCCCAACAAGAGCCCACTTTTTTTTCAACTTTTACAAGGAGAAGCTTAGTTAAAAAATGCACAGTTACTTGCTTAGGTTTAAACGTTCAACCAGAATATCCCTATTCAGTTGGAATGGGGAAAAAGCTGTAAAATTGGAGATGGAAATGGAGCTTTCTAATTGACTATTGGAAGTGAGATACTGTTCTAACATCATGTCTTTTAGCCTTCTGAAAGCTAAATATCTACTAGCCTTCCAGTCACTCTCTGCCAACCCTGAGGAGAAAGATGCATTTAATAACAGCCAGACATCTTCCTTCCCTAGCACCTGCCTTCAGTGGGGCTGGGAAGCCCTTGGGAGGTGTTTGCATGCTGCCAAAATGTCTCGGACATTAAAGCTACACAAGACTGTTTCCACCTGCACACTGAGCTGTTTTCTTAATATGCTTTGTATGTTCCATCTCCCAGTGTTCAGAACAAATTCCAAGTATCATATTTTTCTGAGTGGAAATCTCTTTGCTTTCTGTCTTAATTCTTATGGTGTCAGCTCAGTTGCATTATAGTGGCTCAGCAAAGCACTTGACTAATGCCTTTTTGCTGAAGGACTCTTTGTGGTAGTTTCAAATCTTTTGCAGTTCATTTTGTTCTTTTATTCTTCCTTTTTCAGAAAATAGGGATGCATCTTGTTGTGGTTGCCTGTCAGAAATATTGGCACTGTTGACTTTAAACATAAGGTGAAAATAGTACCAAGTGTATACAAGTGAAGTTACACATTGTAAACCAGTAGCAAACAACTTCATTGCTGCTGGGGATGCTTTTCAAAAGTGACTTAGGAGTGACATTCTCAAGAGTGATTTGGGCTCTTTGTCATAAGTCTTCGCAAGTCTTGTGTAGATTCCTCAGTCACTGCACAGGTAAAATTTTTCTATGTCATCCTCATTAACAGCCGATAGCTCCATGATGGTTTTATTTTCTTCTCTCTCTCTTCCTTAGCTCCCTTTTCTAGAATCTGGATACTTCTTCTATCACAATGGCATTGCCAAAGCCAGGAGAAGACGCAGTCTTCAACACAAACTTCATTTGGAAAAGGACTCCAGGGTAAGTGTTTCATCATTATATATACCTGTCACGTTTTCTTTGTGACACAGATCATTTTTTATGGGATCGAGGTGAAGATCAAATCTGTGGTTATGGCTGTGATTTCTTTTCCCCCATGCTCGTTTCAAGCTTACTGGCTGCTGTATGCACACACTTCCCAAATAGGTTCATCTTTTATTTTTAGTTCACTGCTACAATAGTCCCACATTATCTGAGATGTATCTTTCCTCCAGTAAGACTCAGTGATGCTATAGTCTCTGGGACATCTTGGTACACTCATCTCTCTGTACGGTGCAGAGAGGCCATCTAGGGTACATCTCCTGGTTGTCCCCTCCACACATCCTGCTATGCACAGGTCTTCCAGCCCCAAATACATTGTGGTGTGAATGGTGGCACTTTTCTGCAATCACACTTGGAAATTTTACTCAGGGACACCAATTTCTAAAAGAGTGTATGCTGTCAAACTTTAAATAATTCTTTTAGAGGCTCTTGATTGCAGCCTACAAATGGTGTGTTCAGTTTTCAAAAGCATAAACCCCTCTGACAGGAGGAAAAGAACCCTCTTGTGGAAGGCTACAAGCTGGCACTGGCAAATTCTACTTTCTTTTATGCAGAGTTTTTACACCAATTTAATACTGGGCTGGAGTTGGGCCAGGTAACACAAGAAGTGTATTTACTGCTCGAAGAAAGTAGATAAACCTGAGGAATGATATCATGACAGTAAATAGATTATTTTTTAATCCTTCAGTAGGATTTAAACTCTCTGCTCTGTGACCAAAAAACCAGGGGGGAATAATTTTATTCCAGACAGAATTTTGTTGCCAGCTATTATGTGGTATTGGAACATCTATGACAGGGAAAAGATTGACTAGTAAGAAAAGGAAAATAGGTTATATAAGGTTAATATTTGTTGTTGTGACACCAAAGCAAGCAAGGTCTGATGAATTCTCAGCTTAATTTTCCTGCTTCTGCAGAAATTTCAAGTGGTTCCAGGCCCAGGTCCAACTGGGATGCCCATGGCTTTGGCAGCTGAGGGCCATGTGCGTGAACCACACAGCTCCCAGGTGCTGCCTGCTCCATCATTTTGTCCTGAGGTGCTGATAGCTGAGTGCTGACAGGTTCTCTGGAGCTGCTGCTGGTGTTGCAAGGCTCTTCCTGTCTCCCTCCTGTAGAGCTGGTAACAGGTACAGGTGAAGGGGTTATGAGGAAGAGACCCATTTAACCTGCCTTGAATAGAAATTCTCAGGCTTCCATACTTTTGTTTACTAAGCAGGGATCAGAAAGCAAACCACTGAGAAACCACGTGCAGTTAGTGGATACTAAAGCAAATGTCCTGAGAGAGGTGTTTAATTTCCTTGAAACACCCAATCTTATAAAGTCATTTCAGAAAAGGCACACAACTAAGTGAGTACGTTGCAGACTAGTGGCTGATTATAGGCATTGTGCAGGTGACACTGTAATGGAAATAAATATTGCTGTAAGCCTCTGAAAATTTTACAAATGCCTGTGATATTTATATGAAATCATCAATTCTCATTGCAGCCTAATATTACATGTCTGAGCACTCCTGTACAAATTCCAGACTGACTCTTGCATTGACTACCTCTAGACCAGCTGTCTGCACTGCTATTAAGAACTGCTTAAATGAATCTACCTTCTCATTCAGAGATGTTCTCTTTTGCAGTCATCCAATATTTGCAGTGTCTAGACTCCTAGATGTCTTCTGTCACGTGCAATGAAATCTCATTTTTGCTGTTAATCTCCACCTCATCCTGGTGCTGCATACCAATGGCTCAGCTCTCGGTGGAGCCTTCCTTTGATCTTGTGGAATAAATCCCTGTGCTCAAATAACTGAGTATATCTCCCACGTGAGGAAAAGGGTGATCCTGGATATATTCTGACCTCATTAGTTACGTTGAAGGATGGAAGGAGGATGTAGCAACATTTCATTTCCGCAAGTAACGTGACATTTTTCTCATCTAGCCCTCCTGCTTACTCTGTCCTGTTGGATAGTCCTTGACCACTTATGATGCCATATAGGTCAGTTTCTTCTTGTAATACAGTTTGAGAGCAATTAAAATCCTTACTCTTATCTCTCTTCTTTTTTTTATATATGGATTTTGGACAAGTCATTAAAATTCCTGTCATATTTGTGTATAAGTGGAAACATGAGTCGTGTTGACAGTACTTAATTTCAAACTCCAAAAATAATTTCTAAATTTAATGGCATCTTTCTAGACCGTTTACAATCAATTTTACTTAGCAACAAATGTCAGCACTGTCATGGTTAATATGTTAACACATGAAGCCAAGAACAAAATGTTCCTGTTGTCAGGCTAGCCAGGAAGAAAACTTCCACCACAGGGCTGGAAAAATCTCTTAGGAATAATTATGGTAAATGCTGTAGTTGCTCAGCCCTACCCAAATGTTCTAAGAAAGTGGGCTGCACTTATTCTGTATACTTTTCACTTTTAAGGGGATTACAATTCCTAGCTAATTTTAATTATTAGTTGACATACAGCCACAGATGTTCACTCAATTAATTAATGTTCTTTAATCAAGTAAGTCCCTTGGGGAACCCTGTCAATTTTTCAAGAGTCTGGGGAGATAGATTACAGAGCACTACGCAAACAGGTTACTGCATTATTTCCATGTTCAGCATGTCTTTAAAAGTACTTGAAATTCCTTTGTTGTGTAAAATTTACTGTATGTTTTAACCAAAATAATTTGGAGATACACTAAACAAATACAGCAGTTGTGTGATAAACAGTGTTGTTGTAAAGGGGGTGGGAATGGAACATTATTAATACACCTTCCTAGAGATCCAGCAAGAATTAATCTTTGTTCTAAAGAACAATGTTTTTTGACATTATTTGAATGCATCATGTTGCTGAAGCCTGGAGCAGTCCTGGCAACAGGTGAAGGCACAAGTAATGGTGTCACATAGTGTATTGTGCTATTGAACTACTCAAGAAAAAAGTGCAGGTGTTTGAAGCACCACAGCTTTTGCTGTCAGTACTGTCCTGTCAGGGATTCTTACTGTTAGGGTGGCACATGCCACAGTGAATTGAATTGCTCCAAATGGAGACTTATTTAATTATTTAAATTACGTTCTCTGAGATACAGAGAACCTTTCAGGAGAGGTCTGCTCAGGAGCATCAGTTGCCAATTTCTGTGATTTCCAGGTGCATTTATATATTCTTATTTTACTGTGTCTAGCTTTGGTGCCAAATAGATTTGCAGGGGAAAGGGGGATTATCTTTAATGTATTTGCATATTTAAGATAAGATTCTTACTGAGCCGAGACACAGCAGCAACATCTTCAGTATTCTCCATGCGAAATTGTGTTTTCATCTGCCTTTATCTGTTAATTGCTTCAGCTGAAATGTCTCAGACCAAAAGGTCAGCCATTAGGCTTGCCTGGCCTTGGGAGACTTCACTTAAGGGGCTGCTGTACTCTGCCCTGGAGCTCCAGGCAGGGAGACAGTCCTTGCCGTGTCCCATGGGCACAGACAGCTGGAAGGAGGTGACAGCAGGGGCAAGGGCCCTGAGCAACATAAAGCCATGAGGAGCCAGTGTGTAGGTGAAGAGAGACTAAGTGGGACAGGCTGAAAGAAGAGCCTAGAGTCAGGGAAAAGGTTGAGTGATTTGGGCATGGAGTAGCCCATGAGCTGAGTGGGACACTGAGGAGCACAGGGGTAGGCTGGAGAGATGGGAAACAGGGTGTCCACATCAGTGTTAAATCATGCTGCCTCCTGAGTGCAGGTCACAACTCACCCTTAGAGCAAGGTGACCTTTTCCAAGGGAAATACAGCTTCTATAAGAGCAAACTTTGATTGTAATTATGAGGAACAGTGGTATGTTTCATGACTGTGATTGCCCTGGAAAAGTAAATCAGAAATATAGAGATACTTCATACTGTCTTGTTTGTTAGGTTTCCTGTCTCTGAAAGTACAATATGGGCAGCATGGGAAGCAGAAACCTGTGCTTCATTTTGATTTTTCAAAACTGACTTAGATTGTGGCCTCCTGTATTATTAATACAGCTGTGGCCTCAGCTGTATTAGTAATAAATATTTTGAAAAGTGGCCACTTAAGTAAAAGGAAAGAAAAAACGCACAGTCATTACATTACCTTTCAGAGTAATACTTCTGTATTTTTTGCTGTTGTGGGTATTTTCTGTTGGTAAATAGTCTTCCACTGAGGAGCAAGAGTTGAAACATGGTTTGTTCTCTCAAAGATTATTTTGCTTTCTTTCAAGTTTTAGATAAAACCATTTTCCTCCCACACAGTCTCTCTTGTCAGACAGCTGCCAAGATTAATCCCACTCAAGAAAGAGGCTTTAATATACAGAGAAGAGCTGTGTCCCATTACTGATATCTACATGTGAGTGCATCTGTGTTGGTGTTGGGGGAATAAATATATATGTGTAGAGGGGGGAGGTGAAATGAAAATCTTCCACTGAGAGTGAGTTTGGCACTTAGATGATGGCTTCTTTGGAAATAAATGTCCCAGTGATGGCAGTTGTTATGATGCAGAAAGGGATTAGAAAGGGAGACTTGACTGATACCTGTGCTGGTACAGGAGTCTGGGGAAGGTGGACAAGGAGCTTCTTCCAGGTGTAGTCTGTAGATGACCATGGTTAACAATAGTTCCAAACTTCTTGTGTCCTGGGACAAGGAAGAAAAAAGGGGGCTGTAAATGTAGAGGATCTAAGCTTTAATTGAATAAATCAAAGTCTTCCTTATCCTTCCTCACCTGAGATCCTTCCCATGCCCCATTAACATAACTGGTTTGTTTGTGATCAGGTCCTTGCAACTGGTGAAGGCAGAAGTGCTCTCTGATACTAGGAAGGGGTTAGCCAAGTGCTGCCAGAGCTGGATATTTCATCCATGGTCACCTTTAACAGGGAGAAAGAGGGACAGCAGCTTGGGAAGAAAGAACACAGCTGCTTAACAAGCAGCAGCCCTTAGCAATGGCAGGGCAATGTAAGTCAATTTT